TAAAAAAACTACTAGATTCTTAAATCTAGTTTTTGATTATATCTTGTCTAACATATAATGCAATTTTTGTATTTTAATTTCAAAATAGTATTATCATTTTAATGTCATTTTCAATATTATCGATTCAGTACAGAATAAGATTACAACATTCATAGTGATTAGAATTAAAATTATATTTTATTATAGAATTATAAATAAAATAACAGACTACATTGTAAATGTAAATAAAATATAAAATTTCATAGTTCTATAAAATGTACATATTGCTTGTAGAGATTATTATAAAGTTAATGAAACGATGATTTTGTGTAAAAAATATTATGTTTTTAATTTTTTATATTTAATTTAATTATAATATATCATACTTATTTAAATAAATTTTTATTTTTGAAAATATTAATCAAATGATGAATGAATATGATTTTTTTCTTGTATATAAAAATTTAAATGTCATAAATAATAAAAAATTAATTTTATTATTCAAAAATTGAATACATTTCTAATTTGCAATTATTTAAATAAAACATTTTTAAATATTAATATAAATATAAATTTTTAACTTGATTGAATATTTAAAATAATTTATATTTATATATTATTATATATCAAATTTTTATATATAATTAAGATTTATTTTGTGCATTAATTTATTTTGCAATTTTAATTGACTTTAAATTTAAATTTAGAAGATATAGATTTTAAAATATCAACTTTGTAAATTTAAAAAGTGTATTATAAATTTTATAAATTTTAAAATATTAATTTTGATTTTGAAATTTCTTTAGAAATATACAAGGTGTTAATATATTCGTAAAATATCTTTGAAGGGTTAATTCTAGAGACTAAAATAAACAAGTTGTCTATTGATGCTTATTTACTAAGTTAGAAGCAATTGAAGTTCAAAATTGAATTTTAGATGAGAAGAAAGCAATCTCGCTTTATTTCCGTTTTGCTTCATCTCACACAAACTTATATTGCTTATAAATAATAAATAATAATAATAATTTAATGAATAAGCATTAACAGACAATTTTTTAATAATAAGTTATTTTTGTGTTTGTTTTGACTTCTAGAATCAATTCTCCAAAGACGAATAAAATTGTTTCCGACGAATATTAATATTTTGTATATACAGATTACATATAAAACGATGATAATCTATTTTAAAAATAATTTCTCAGAAAAATTGTAAATTGATTAAAGATTACAGTTAAACAAATAAAAATAATATAATAATTTATAAAAATTCAAAATATAAGTATATTTTTATATAAATTGTTTGCTGTAAGAAGATAAATAAATTTTTTTAAAGGAGAGACATTTTTTCAATATCTGTATATATTTGTTTGTTTGTATTTGTATATTTATTTACAATTAATATTTGTTCGTAATAATTTCTGTTTCATGAAAGCTTTTTAAAATTAAACAAACGAAAATTATAAGAGAAGAAAAAAATGTATAATATATTTTTAATTAGTTAAATTGAATCTTGATCTTATTATACAAAATAAATCATTCAATTATTAAGAAAATTATTTTTTAAATAAGCAAGTATAGTAAATCTTTTAAATCTTCAAAATCTTCAAATCTTTCAAATTCTGATAACAATATACGCAATAATATGTACATTAAAAAAATTTTCTTTTCTTTTCTATAAAAAATGCAGTATCAGATTACAAAATATGCAGTTTCATATCAATATTTACGAAATTAATTCATTTATTTTATTAATGATTAGATTCTTAGTTTTTGAAATAAATCAACATTTCGTTTTATTCATTATTTAAATATTTAATTTATAATCTAATTATTTATAATATTTTATTCGAAAAAGTTCATAGAATTATTTATATTATTTTATATTAAGAGCAAGACATAATAAATAAAACAAACATAATAAATTTAATAGTTTGAAACACATAATAAATGAAAAATTATATTTAAAATTTATTAGAATATTAAATTTTTATAAAATAAATATAAAAAATTGTGATAATGTTTTTATTATACCATAATAAAAGAAATCATAATTTTTTTTTAATTAATTAATAAACAAAATATTCAAAAATTCTGATATGAAAATTCGCCAAATTTTCCAGTATATAATATAATATAATACATACATAATATAATACATACATATATAGATTATTATTTATATGAAAATATAACAAAAGTAGTTATATTTATATTTTTAATTTTATTTTTATTTTCTTAACTTCGGTTAAGAATTAAGAATTAGATTGGATATTATAATGTTGGATTGAATATAAATCTTATACTCGTTATTCTATATTGTAAAGGCATAGCACATATTCTAATTTTTTATGCAATCGATATTTCATATAAAACAACAATATAAAGCAAAAATCCTATCGAATGATAGATTACCTGTGACATAACATGAAAAGACAATGTAATCTATTATTTCAAGTTGACAAGAAATTCCATCATCATGAAAGATCATTGTATTTTTCAATATTGATAATATTTATAAAAATCTATATAAGTACGATTATCTTTCCCTATAAAGCATGAATTATTTAAGACAAACCTATTTCATATTTAATATTTCATATTTGTTCTTTTATATTTACATAGTTACTTAGTATTAACTTTTATTTATTTCGTAAAATTAGTTAATAATGTAACTTTGATTCTAAGAATTTAATATTTCATCTGAATTAAATTAAATTAATATTTCAGTTTTTTTCTAAATTAGACTCAAATCCTATTCATTATTTTTTATAAGTGTTGATACAAACTTTTATGTATCATATATTTTTTGAAATTTATTATTGAACCTAAATAGATTTAAAATTTAAAATAGATTCTCAAAGTTGCAATGTTATAGATGCAAATATCAATTCAAGAAACTATATGAGCTCCATCATTATCCATTTGGCATTCACCTTTCTATCATCCTAGAAGATTTTCTTTTATTAATAACAAATAAGAAAAAAGATAACGAGTTATAAAAATTTTCGCTGAACCGATGTTTTAAAAATTAATCGAGATTATCTTCAAGAATATTAACGATGCAACATTGTCGTTCTGCAAGACTACAAGTAAACAAAAATCAAAGCAAAAAGTCAAGTGAGTAAGGACAAAATTTAGAAAGAAAATTGCGGATACTGCGATACTCAATCAGACGAGGTCGAAAGTTACACGAGAGTCGGCAAAGTCACGTACGCTAGTTCGAATTTTGCAACATCAGTCGGACATGATAAATCTTTCTTCGCATGATAACTCTAACTTAATGGATAAAAAGATACATATCATCAGTACTATCGATAAAGTTGCTATCTGTAAATTTCGAAAAAATATAAAATATTTTAATATTTCAATATTTTACTGATATTTTTTATAATTTAATAATTATATTATAATAATTCAATTTTATAATTTCTCGATACAATATAATAATATTCATAATACTATAATTCAATAATTTTATTTATATTTATTTATATCTTAAAGAAATTTTAATTATTAATTTATTATTTATTAAATTTATTAAGTTCAGAATTAATTTACTATTTCTTAGTGCAGTATTATATTTACTTAAAAATATTTTTGTAAGAGAAAGTTAATTTTATAATAGAAAAGTCTGATAATCTAATTTACAAATTTTTATCTTGTGCAATTAAAATTTTATTTAAAGTATACAATGTTTAAAGCATAATATAAAATTCGGCAAAAATATATTATTCCTGAAGAATAATTCTTTGGAATTGAACGTTCTTTGAATTTGTATAAGATACTATTTTTGAATAATAATTTATAATTGAATAATAATTTGAATAATAATTTTTAATTTTTAGAATAATAAATAATTTATTATAATATACTTTTGTATTTAATTTTTGTTTTAACAATTTATTATAATAAATTGGTATAATTTAAAATTAAATCCAAATTTTTATGATATTGGTTATTCAACTTATAATTGTGTTAAAATATTCTAAATATCATTTTGCAATAAAGAATAATTATGAAATAATTAGAAATTAAATTTATCGTAATAATGAATCATAATACAAAATAGAAGTTCCATTAATTAAATTAAAAATATAAAGATGTGTAAGGGCAAATATAATAGAATTCTTTTTTTTTTTATTAATATTAATACATATATTAATATAGCGAAAATTCTTATAAATTGTTTTATATTTTATTTTAAATTTTGATTTTTGTTTAAGTTTGATTTTTTTATTATATTTTATAATGATTTAAATTTTCTTATCTTAGAACACAAACATTATTTTATATTGTTCATTAATTTCTTTATTGGGATTATAACGAGATATTAATATTTTTACGATTATGATATACTAATAATATATTTATTTATAATTATTATAATATTTATAATTTATATTAAAAATTAATTCTAAATGTAATTATTAGAATTTTATTCTATTGCAATTTCATGTTATATCAGTAATACCAAAAAATGACATTAAAATAATAAGAAGATACTTATAAGATTTGATATCTAGAATAAAAAAGTGTATTGAATAATGTTGAATTCTTCCCTCTTTATTTTTCATTATTGTCAATATGTTTTTCATTACATGTGGTTTATAAGAACAACTATATACATCAATATTGATTTTCATTGTTAAGGAATTAAGGATTACTAAAGGATTCCATGGATACCAATCAACAAGGGAAATTTCGATAGTTGAGGTTTGTTTCATAGAACATTCTTACAATGTAGTGTTTTCTGTTGTTTGATAAAATTTGTTAATTAAAATTAAATATGTTAATTTTTATTTATTGTCGATTATGATTTTAATTTGATAATTTTGCAATATAAAATATTATAAAAAAATATTGCAATTGTTAGTATTTTGACTAATAATTGTATCAATAATGATAAAAATTTAATTAATAGAATTTTTTTTAACTTTTTAATATTTTTTTTTTATATTATTATTTTTAAACTATTTTAAATGTTTTTGTAATTTTTATAAGAGAAAATTATAATCTTGGATATATATTTTACTCTAATATTAATTTAGTTTTAATTAGACTTATAAAATATCGAAAAATAAAATTTGAAAGTTTTTGAAGAAAAAAAAAGGGACAAAAACATCTTTAATTGCAATTATGATGGATATGGAAATGAACGCTGGTTTGGATGTAAGTATTTATATATTTATATTTTTTTAATACATTTTTTAAATATTCTTAAAAATTATATTACAATTAATTACATTATAATTAATATTTGTAATAAATAATGTAAAAGTTTTAATTATAATAATTCTAAATGATTTTAAAATTTTTAAAAGTTTAAATATAAAGTTTTGATTTTATGATTTTAAAAAAGTATATGATTTTAATTATTTTAAAAGTTTTAAATAGAAATTTCATTATCGTTATTCTTAATTTATATATAATAAATTGTAATAAGTTATAATAAGTTTAAAGTTTAAAAAATAACGAATTTTAAATTAATATATTATATTAATATATTTATATTTTTAAAATTTTGCTTAATAATTTATTTAGAATTTAAAAAATGAATAAAAATATAATACATACGTAAGATGTAAAGTAGATACTTTTAAAAAACGAATATATTTAAAATAAACGATATTCATTTTTGATTGCTAGAAATCAAGTTGCATTGGGAAATTATGGAACGATATTTAAATATTTTGCTCTCGATTCTCGTAGATTTTTTTTTGCTTTTACACGTGTAATTTAGTATAATAACTTTTTTAATAAACTAAACTATTCATAATGGACAACGATAAGCATGGAGAGGACAAAATTATTAATGTTGTTATTAAAATTGAATTCTTTCAAGTATCGATAACCTAACCGCGCGACTATCTGCGGTAAGAAATTATTCAAAAAGAAGAATTATAAATAATTCATATATTATATTAATATATTATATTACATATGTATATATATATCGATATAATTATTTTATACATCAATAATAGATAATATAATTTTAAATTTTATTTTTTAAATTTTTATAATAAGATCTAATAAGACTTACGGCGATATGATTCCTTTGACGTATTATTACGTATGTTGTCATATTTACTACTTAGCAAAATTTGAAGTAAACTTTATGAATTAAATTGTGAGATTTCAGAAAAATTTGTATATGCATTTCATAAATTAATTCAATAGTTTAGTTATTGATTATGTAATATTATAATCTTCTAAAGATATAAATATTTTTCTCATAGAAAATAAATTAAATTACTTACTTTAAAAAAAAGATAAATTTAAATAATCTAAAGAAAAATTTGATTTTTAATTAATAAATAATGGGTAATTAATAAATACATAATTACTTATATAGCTAAATATTTTCAAAATAATATAATATTTTATTCAATGATTTTATTTATAATTTCATATTAAATTGAAAGATTTTAAAAACATTAATTAGAAAAAAATTGACTTTCTTTCCAATAGAATATTAGTTTGAATATTGCATCTAAAAATTTTAACACAAAATTTTCTTGCAATAATCTTTCTGAAAACGTGTGATATAATTTTTGATTTATAATTTTTAATTTAACAAAATTTTGGTTAAATTTTTAATTTGAAAATAACCATCTCGGTTTAAAACTTATTCTTCATATTTTGCAAAGATCGTTGAAATAATTCAATATAGACATAAAATATAGGATACGATAAATTTGTTCATAAATTCGACAATAAACACAAAATCTCAGACATAGGATCAATCGCCAATAACAAAGCTATTTGAAACCACGAAATCTAAAACTGATTTCTTCTAATACTTGTTGTCTTCTTAAGCTTGATTATGACTATCATAAAATTCGAAGACACGAAGGAAAAGAAAAGAAAAAAAGAATCGGTCGTAAATTTCGTGGATTAATATCGCGCGGTCAGTGGCGCGGCTAGGTAACGATGATCGTGAAAAAATTATCATTAACATGAAGAATATTTTGTTAGCATTGAATGACGTGTTTCAGGACGATGCGAGCGAGGCTAGCGCAAGCACGTCGGAGGGTAGCTCAGTGAGCATTACATTTTGCAATCTTGAAAAGCAATATGCAAAGGTGAGAAAATTTTTATCTTCACAAAGTGTTTCATTAAGAGAGATTAATAAGAATATCGGAGATGTTTTACTAGAAATGAATGTAGCGAATGAAAATTGTGAAATAACTGAGAGATGTATGTTATGGAAAGATATACAATGGAAAATCTTCATTCGCCTTTATATTCGTCAAATTTAATATTCGCCACATTTTTACGATAAAAATATTCGATTTATTATATAGATATTCGTCAAACAATCCAATCTGTCATCAAAAATTTCTTATTGTTTTCTGCTATCAACTTTTTAATAAAAAATTAATTTTCTGTTTAAATTTTTATTTATTTATTGATTCAAAATTCAAAATTATTCTCTTTTTTATTGTAAGAAAAATTTTGATTCTATATTCGTCAGTTTTTCAGAAATGACGAATATAAATATTCTATTATATATCAGGATATTTGAAAATGGTTATAGAAATAAGTTAATCATAATATATTTAGATTTTATATCGAAGAATATAATATTATATGTATAGAAAAATTAATTATATTTAGGATTTTTAGATAACGATATCTAATTATTTAATTAACTATGTAATATTAAATAATCGAATAATAATATATAATGAGGAAAACGATACAGTAAAGATTCGATATTTGTTGGCAAGTATTTGCCAAACTATTAATTGTTCGTGATTTATTCCCATCATTGAAGAAATTCTTATGGCAGCAATCTTTTTTTAAAAATTGTGTTGTCTCCGTATTGGTGTAATAATCAATATAATTAAATTATAGCAACGAAAATTTTGTATTTTCTCATTTTAATTTTAATAGAGAAATCTCATAAATATAATTGAAATTTTTATTAACAAAAAATAAAAAATAAAAAATTTTCGTTGTTACATTAGTATTATTTATTTTAATTAAAAAATATCAATGAAATTGGTGTTAACATAATTAGTTGAACATTTTTAATAAAAAATCAAAAATAAAATTTCTTTGTTGCTTATGTATTATCGTTATATAGACTTTCAAAGGATTATTTATTCGCTAATTGTGATATGCAATGGTCTTAAATTTTGAATTCTTATCAAAATTTTATTGTAGCAGTAAATATTGAGAGGATTATATATGGATATTGGAAAATAGATAAGGAAAATCAGCTATGTTAGAATATTTGAATTTTATAGTTAGATATTGAATAATAATAAATTATACAATTAAGATTAAGTAGATGTTGTGGGAAAGTTTAATAGTGAAATATTCAGGGATTCTATTAAATAGTAGTATGCTATAATATAACGGAATATTTAACGATTATAAATATTGAGGAAAATTATATATGAGATGTTCTTGCATTTAATGAAAAATAATAATATTGTGAATAATAATAAAATAAATATTATAAACAAGTTTAATAACAAAATAAATTAAAATTTGTAGATAATAGAATTTGAAAAAATCTTAGTTAAAAAACATTCAATATTTATAGATGAATATTTAATAGATATTAAGTGTAAGTATAATAGATAAAGTTGTAAGGAAAAGAAAAATTATTCTGATATATTTAAGATTTTTAAAAAGAAAAGGATTAATAGTCATTAAAAATTATAAAGACTAACATTATAACTATATTAATTAAATAATTAAATAATTTTGTTATTTAGATACTGGAAGAGATGAAAACCAACGAAGTGCTAGCTCCTTACATGATAGAATATACCAGACTTTTTGAAGCTTTGTATAATGCACACAGACTAGAAAAAGAGCTGATGGATAAAATACATTCATTAAAGGTATAATAAATAGAAATGTCATTCATTTTAAATTCTAGATTATTTATATACAGTATGGATTTTATCAATATTTATTAAAAATTTTATTAAAATTCATATCGAATTATTATTATAATCTTAATAAAAATAACTAATTTATATGTAATTTGAAAAACCAGGAAGAAAATTTTACGAATACACACAGAATATTCGAATTAAACCAAACGATTAACAGAATGGAGGATGAAATTAATAAATTAAAGCAAAATATAATACGCGCATTGAAACGAGCAGATGCCGCTCATACGCGTGAGCAAAACGCACAGGATATAATCGAAAATTTGAGATTAAACGTACAACAATTAAGTCAAGAAATCGCACAAAAAAATAGACAATTAGCTGCTGGTGAAGAGTAAGTTATAAAATTTTAATTCATTGCATAAGTTGTAAGATAATAAATATATATAATAATACACATAATGTCTAATATGCATATACATATGTATAAAAAGATCATTTCATGTCAAATCATTTTAATCTCGATATCTTAAATTTTGCTTAAATTGAGGTATAAAATTCTCCTCTGAAATTAAGAGGATTTAAGTTATCATTATTTTGCTAATTTTGTATTTATTTAAAAATTATAGATTTTTAAATTTTACAACTTTTACTAATTTTTGGAAATATATTTGTTTATATAAATTATTTTTTCTCACTTATATAATCAAATATGATATTTATAAATAATATTTTTACATTTAAATAATTTTCATATATTACATTTCCATGATATATTATAAAATTATTTATATAACATATATTTATTATAAAAATCGTCAAAAATCATTAAATTCAAAAATAATTGTAAATTTTAAACAAATAAAAAAAAGCAAAATGATGATTTAAACCTTTCTCCTGCTAATTTCACTGAACATTATATTTCACCAACATATATATTTCATATATATTCATTATTCATATATTTCATATATATATTTTGCCAATATAATATTCATTATATTTGGCAAAATTCAAAAGGCCGAGATCAAAAAGTGATTTATGATGATTGAAAAATATAATAATAATATCATTATAATTATAATATACAAATACTATAATAATAATAATAATAATAATAATAATAATAATAATAATAATAATAATAATAATAATAATAATATCTTATAATATCGAAAAAGACGAAAATATTTGAAATTTAATTATTGAAACTAAGATTAAATGTTTTCAAAATAAATTCAATAATTAATTTAATAAAATTTTATTTTATTTTTATTTGATATTATTTTATCTTAAATAATTATTTAAAATATAAATTATTTTAATATTAGTTATTTCATTTATTTTATTAATATTTATTTGATTTTAATATACAAATAAAATTGATATAAATAGATTTTTATAGTGAAATGTCTTTTTTACATTGAATTTTTATTCGTTCCATCTATTTTTATTCTTTAAGTCTTTAAGAAAGTCATTATTCTTTTATCTAAATCTAGATATTTATATTTTTTTTTTTTTTCGTATTTTTATCACTTATTAATAAAATCATTGTCTTTTATGAACAATGAATTTCATTATTTCTTATTTTTTATTATTTGAAATAATTGAATATTTCATAAATTTAAAAATAATTTATTTCTGAAATAAATTTATTTGCATTTTTATTTTAAATAACTATATATGTTTCATTTTTGAATTATTTTATTTACTTAAAGTAATATTTATTTTCCATTTTCTATTTTAATTTTAAATAAAAAATTTTTAATCCTATTTGAAAAAAAGATCTTGATAATCATTTATTGTTCAATATTTTAAACATGTATATGGATTTTTATATTATTGCTCTAATGATTATTAATTTTTAATTTTTAATTTTCTTCTTTATACTTAAAATATGTCAAATCGTAAAAGAATTTAATTCTGAATAAGAATAATGTAATGAATTATGTATTTTTTTTGAGAAAATTTGTCCAACCTAGGATCTAATGAATAGATCCATGGATGTATTCAAAAGCAAAGTTTTCGATTGTTATGAAAATCTTTCGTAGTTATAATTTTACGTCGCAAAAATAAAACTAGTGATGAATTTTTTGAAGAGATTGAGGATTATTTCCAACGTTTCTAATTAATTCGATTCAACGTTATCGATGAATCGATACTTCTCCGGACGTGAGCATGCATGTTTACCGATGATGCAAACAAAATCTCATCGAACCTTAGGGAATGTATAATGTATGCTTCCTGCTTATTGCTTTTGAATATTTTAAAGGTACTTATTTGTGATAAACTGGAAATCAAAATTTAATAGATGATAGAAACTTCGCAAATATAATTCCTCGATATAATTATATTTACATTACGAAAATATTTATATTTATATTTATAAAGCGAATAAAGGAAGAAAGATTTTTATTAACAATTTTTTTATTGAATTATTAATTAAAATTTTTTAAAATAATAGGCAATTTAAAAAAATAAGAAAAATATTTTAAAAATTAAAAATTAATTAAGAATTAAAAAAAGAAATACAAATGTAATTAATCGATCCTAATTTTTTTTCTAAAAAGTGACAAAAAATTATGTTATAAAATCGATGGCAATTTTTTTCTTAATAGACTATTAGAAATTAATTCAACAAATATGAAAAAAATAATTTTAAAAATATTATTTTATTTTTAAAATAAAATTATTTTATCTAAAGTTGACCTTTAATCATTATATCTTTTAAACATTTTAAATTAAGTTTTCTATATTTATAAAACTATATTCATTAAAAAAATCATCATAGAAAATCATTAAGTGTTTCTAAATGATTAATATGAAAAATTTAAATATAAAAAAATTTCACTAAAAGATAAAAAAATAGAAAAATTGCAAGAGAAAATAATTTTTTAATGAAAATTTTTCAAAAGTATATAATATAAATACACTCTTGAATATCAGTTTATCTAGTAAGAATGACACGACCACAGCAAACAAGGTCGTCATCAAGATGCTACTTCTAGTATGTACATCGTGATCACGTTGAAGCCACATGGATGTCCCGAATCTAATCCCCGAGGATGACGAACGTGTCCAATGCCCGAGAGTCTCGATTTAGTCAACATGATTAAAATGCAATTTCTTTCCAAAGAGACTATACTTTTTGTGGCATAGTTTCCATAAAGATATTATACTCTGTTTCTTTTACTTAATCAAGACAGGAGGATTGTGTCTTTAATTTCGAACCAAGTTTTTTACAAAGGTCTAAACAGCCAATCGATATTTATCTCGTGATAGTTTTAATTATTTAAAATAAGTGTAAACAGACTGAATCCTGGTATCAGATAGTCTTCTTTCTTGTTTTTATTATTTGACTTATATATATAGAATGTATATAATATACAATATATATATACAATTCCTGATTAAGAAATTAGGATTATTCATTATTCAGAATTTTAATGATGAATTTCAAAATTTTTGTATTTTTAATAAAATTTAATAATGGAACGATATTTAATAATAATTTTCATTAAACATTAAATTCAATTACATTAACATACATCTTTTTTGTTATATTTCAAATGCAATACTTACCATATTCTTTATTTCTAGATGATTTTTCTAAATATTCAAAATTTATTTCTTTAAGTGGATTTTTTAAATAATGATTAATAATATGTATATAATAAATAATTTAGATATTTTCAATTGGATTCATATTGATAGAATATATAAGAAGTAATAAGTATTATGTATTATTATATATAAATTATTTATATAAAAAATATATTAATAATTGATAAATTTTGCAATTAAATTCTGTTTTTTTTAAATTTTATTAGAAGCATAAAAAAAGATAATAATTTTTTCTATTTTGATTATTTCTTCATTACATATTATAAAATGTATAACTGTATACAAAATAATACCATACCGTAGATAAAATACATATTATATACCGTATAATAATATATTGTATGGAAATGAAATTATAATGTGGTTTTTAGATATATAAATATTGAAATAATGAAATAGTAAAATAGAAAAATGTTTTAAAGATATATAGAAAAACTGAAAAAAATTAAATGTTGAATAGTACATAATATATTGATAAACGCTGAATATCATATTGATTATTTGTCAATTATGATAACTTTTAACATAAATAAATAACAATATCATAATAAATATAAAATTTAATAAAATTTTTCATGTGCATATTTTGTAATTTAATATCAAAATTTACAAAATGCAGCACAAAGAAGATTTTGATCATTATACAAAGAATCTTATAAATTAATTAATTCTATATTCTAACGACAATTTTAATGATAATTTTATATTTTAAATTATCATTTTATACTTTGAAACATAAACAGTTTTGATAAAATCTTCTTCAAAATCTTAAAAATTTCTTTGATATTATTTATATTCTTTTTTATTCGCATTAAAATTTTAAAATTAAATAAGTTATCATCTTATCTATCTAAAACATTTATCTATTTGCAGTACCAGTATAGCAAAACAAAAAGAGAATCTGATACTAGAAAAAGAAAGACTGATGAGTGAAGTGGAAACATTAAAGGAACGGTTAAAAAATATGACTTTATATACGGATGAATTAGAAAACAGGACCAGCATTGCAAGTCAGAAAATATCTGAATTGCAAGAAAATATCGATGTACAATTAAGCGAAATCTCGAGAGAACGTCGTGGTAGATTAAAAGCCGAAGAAGAAGTTCTGCAATTACAAGATGAATTAATCAGAAAAAAAAAGTGATCTCGAGGTAAAAAATTTTTAAAATCATGGGATATATTATGTTGATATATAATATATTTAATATGTGTAAGAGAAGAAAAAGAGAACAAGAAAGAAATAATAAAAATTTGAATCTCTCGATTACTTTTTCAATATATTTTTAGTTTATATTTTAATAGGATTATTAATTAATTAGTAAATATATTTCGATGTTAATTTTAAAAATTAAATAATTGTAGAAAATGTGATGACTTATTAATTGATTAATTAATTGACTAAATTAACTAAAATTTTATTTTATAAATCGATATTTGTTGAATTTATTTTAAAAAATCTATAACAAAAGTATTATGATAAACACAATTATGAATTTATATAGCTTTTGTATAAATAATATTCCAATTGATATCTCGATTAAAGATATATAATATCTATAATTTTCTATATAATTTTATACTATAATTTTAATCATTTGAAAATATTTAATAATAAACTGAATTATATAATTTTGAAAAATAATAGATTGCAATTAGTAGTCAATTTAAATATTACAATCAGCAATGATTGTCATTTTAAACGATGTCGTAAAATAATCTCTTCGTCTAACCATTAAAAGAAACGAGAAAGTCACAAGATTCGCGTTTAAGAAGTTCTTCAAACATTTTTCAACTTACTTTCGGGCGAAAAATCAAACGAATCGCTTTTTCTTCCCGACGATGCTTCTTAACTTCGAAATGCATGCAAAAGTTCAACAAGTTTCCAGCTAACTGCAACTGAAACGAAAAGACAAGGCCTTGTTGCAAGTTTGAACAATTCGATAGATAATTTCACTTTCGAGAACAAATCTTATCTCCGTGAGATGATCATCGATTGGTTGTAAGATACGATTTCAATTTGTGAATCGAAAATTTATGTTGAACAATTTCTATAAAAATTCATAATAGTAATAATCTGATGAAAAAAGTAATTGTAATACATATGAAAGAAATTAGAAAAGAATTTCTAATTCTTTTGATTTTCATATTTACAATAGAATATGTAATATATATATTTATTTATTTAATTTAATAAGATATTTGGAGATTTGCTATTCTTTTTAAACTAGAATATTTAAGAAAAGATATTCAAAGGTTTAAGGTTAAAATATTCATTGAAGAAAAAATCAAAAATATTAAATGAACATAGATATTGCAATTACTTCTTTTGAAAATAAATTTCTAAAAATTTATTTTTAAAACACATTTTTATTGTTTACAAATATTCGAAATATTACGAGGAGATCTCTTTATAAAATATGAAATGTAAATAGAGAAATTTGTTTAAAATGAGAATTTATTAATACATTATTTCTAATATTGACAAAAATTATTTCATAGACAGGAAGAAATGGAAAGTTGAGAATCATAATAGTAGAGAATCATAAATAATGGAATTATTTAGAATCAAAAAATGGAATTATGCTACAATTTCATATTATTTTAAGTTATTTAGTTAAGTTATTAAGTACATACTATTTTAACATACTAGTTAAAAATTAAAGCTAATTCAATATTGAAACTAAAAAATATAAACTAATATGAAGAAAGCTATTCATTTTTTAAATATAAATTTCTCATAATAAATTTCATAATAATAATGTGATTTTAAATTCTCTAAATATAGAAAGTTATCCACACAAATCAAATTTAATATTAAAGTTTCAGTAGTGAATGTTATTCAACGTCACAATTCAAATTTAGTATAAATGTTTCTCGTATCGTCATGTAATATATATATGTTGGACAAAATGAGGTTCGAAAGAAATATTTGAAAATATATGTCAGTTTATTATCTATAAACGTAAATTTTACATTGCAACGAAAACAATATATAAAACGTTTACTATAACAAAAAATATTATTATTTGCATTTATGAAATAATCTTTGTCGATATTGGTAATAATTTTGCATTGTGAAATATTCTAACATATTTCTAAACTAATTCCTTTAATTTCCAATGTTACAAAAAAATATTCGCAATATTGAATAAATATATTCGATTCATAAATAATAGAAATCGATTTTACATTAAAAAATTGAAGATTGGACTTATATTGATTAAACATTTCTTATTCTTAGGATTAATATTATAAACTATAAACTTATAAAATCTTAAATACTTTTTAATAGTTTATATAAATTGCTTTCTTATTTTTAATTAGACTACATTATTATTTTTAAATGTATATTTATATTATATATTATTATTAATATAACATAATAATAATTACTATTATTATAAATTATTATAATTTTTAAATATTTTTAAATAGTCATTATACTTACTTTAAATGTGAATGAATTATATATAATTAGATATAATTCTATAGTGATGAAAATTATATATATATATTTTTTGCATATTTTTATTTTAATTAAAATAATAATAAATCTATTATTTTATGTTTATTATAATAATAGAAAAAATCCATTCATTATCAATATAGAAGTACCTCTTTTTCAATAGATATATGTATGTCGCATTGAACATATTAAACAATTATGTGTATTATTTTCAACTAATTATGTATTCAAACAAATGAATCTTTTTGAATTATTCATTGTTAGATTTAAGAGAAATAAATCTTTATTTCATTTCAATTTTTTATCATTGTTATTTATTTGTAAAGTACCATTTTTGTAATGGAATAGAAATAATCATTTCATTATTAGATTATAAATTGAAGTAATTTTTCATTTTATATAAATTGTTATTATTATATATATTCGCTCATATAATATTTAAATATTGTAATATAACATTTTTAAACAATTATGAATTTATGTATACGCAATTTTTCTTTGAATCATTTCAAAATTTAATTATCAATCAGAATAATTTATATAAATATTTCTAATTAGAATATTATAGTGATTTTCTTATCTACTTTTTCAGTCAGCAACTATAACGATAAACGCAATGACTACGAACATAGCGAAATTGGAATCTACGTTGAAAGAGCAAAAAACATCTTCCGAAAAAATGCAAAAGGAAATAAATAAGCTCTCGGTGAAAAAGTTGAATCTCGAAACGGATCTCGAAAATGCGAACTCACAAGTAGATACTTTGGAAAAAGATGTGCTGGAAAAAGACAAGAAGATAAAAGAACAAAAACAGATAAAATACAAGTATTTCTATAATCTTTAAATAATAATAATAATAGATAAATTTAATTAACTATTATGTTATTAATCTCATGTTGCATTATACAAAAATTATTTATTTATATATATTTATTTACTTTAATAATTTGTATTCTTTTAAATAATTTCGTGAAAGAAGTACGATCGATCAATTACAGGAAAGTTTTATCAATTAAGAATTAAGATTGCTAACTCATATAAAAATTATGATTGATTTATCAATTATAACTTAAATAATTATTTGACTATATCAATAAAAATTCATTCATAGACAGGAATACTTTAATAAAAATTTAATTTGTATATATATTGATTTAAAAAATATTTATTTATGTATTTGTTCCTATTTTAATATTTATTAATTTTTGTTTTAAAATTCTCCAATAATTTAATATTTTTTTAACAAATATCTATATCAATTATCTTTTAGACTAAAGTATCTAATTAACTTTAAATCATTAGAAACCGCAATGATACAATTATCGCTTTTTTTCCATTTTTTTTCCATATTAATGCTTTGATTCCTGCTTTTTCGATTTTCCGTAATAAAATATTACGTGCGACTGAAACGTAATTGATTGCAGGATATAACTAACGTTATTTCACGAGATTATTTGCAAAATTATACATGCTGGATGAGCCGATCAAGTACCGAAAGTTATCTCTAAATGAAATTTATTTTCCATTATTCCAATTTCGTATAGTGCACACTGATATAGTTACAGTATAATTTGCTATACAGATTATCATTTATCTCTCTAGAAAGAAAACCGTTGGACGAATAAAAAAAACATAATTCTTCATTGAATTGCAACTATTTTTATATTATATTAGATATTATATTATATTATATAGATATATATTATATTATATAAATATTATATTATATTATATAGATATATATTATATTATATTAGATCAAAAAATGAATTTGATCTATTTTAAATATTTAAAATATTTTTTATAATCGATATTTGAATTATTTCTATAGAAAATTTCAATATTTTTTGAGATTTATATTATCAAAATATATATTGGTCTAGAAGAATTGCAAAATTGCAAATTTTTTGTTAAATTTTGAATGATTTTATATATATGCAATTATACCAATATAGCAACTATTATAGTAATTATATTATTATATTATTACATTAAAATTGTTTGAGGAAAATGATTTTAATTTTGAGTTTGACATATGTTTTTCTTTCCTAAAATATACTCTCCAAAACGATTTTTAGCAATTGTTTGTTTTTCATACTTTTTTATAGACAATACCGAGTAGCAAATAATTAAATAATATAATAAAAAATATACGATTCAATTTAAAAAAATAAAATATCTTTTCCTATATTATTCACATATTCATACAAAAAAATTAATCATGTAAAATTGTATATGTTTCAAAAAATTATTAAATATTTATTAAAAACGTTTTTTGTTATTTAACATTAACAGTTTGTTAGATATTCGAGTGAATCGATTTAAATTTTAACATATATATGAATATTCTAAACATATATAATATAATATAATAATAATATAATATAACATATATATATTTATATATCTTTGTAAATAATATAATATATTTTGATAAATGAAATTATCAAAATTAATTCTACTATTTTTCATATATTATACATATATAATAAATATGAATGAGGAAATGAATGAGAAAATAAAAAAAAGATATTTTTTAATCATCTTAGAATGATTAATAGATGATCATTTCATATCACACAATTTTTCTAAAATCACTATATATTGCTGCCATTTTTAAAATTTGTTAAAATTGAATCGAATAGAAAAAGAAAAGGACATTGATTGATTCATAAATAAATATATGTTTATTTCTACATCAAAACAATATAGATGTTATCTGAAATATATAATCATTCGATCGTATAATATTGTTGAATTATTCTGTCTATGTAGAAATTGTCAGCTTTTAGTAGCATCAATCTATAATGCAACATCCGCTGTTATTTAATACTATTCCTAATCCCATAGTTACCTCAATCGTTATCTTTAACTCGCAGGTAACCCACAACAGTTAGTCTATTCAATTGTAATTTATTTTGTTTTAATTATCATTTTGAATAATACAAGGGTTATTGATGATATGTTTCATGAAAATAATTATATTCTTTGAGAGATATGGTGATGATTTTGAAATATATTGTCATTCTGAACAATTTTTTTCTATATATGTAATAAGCGAATTCTTTTAGATTTCAAGATATTCACAAAATAATATTTTTATTATGTACATATATTTAATGTTAAGTATTTCTTAAAATCT